TTTTAGGCTAAACAGAAAGGACAACACAGCGCAATGCATCCACTGCAAAGCAGAATTGGCGTACCACAACAGCACAACATCAATGTTGCAGCATCTGAAGAGAAAACACCCGCTACATGCATCCAACTCGTACACGGTTGCCAACAGGTAACGTTTATGTTCTCTTTGCTAACTACGTTGTGTGATAATCTGCCATGTTATAGATGTAAATTGAGGCACATTATTTTGCTAACGTTACATCTAAACATAGCGGTTACTTAACCGGGTGTAGTGTAAATTGTATGTGAGGGTGGAACTAAGAGAAATTATGCAGGACTTAATGTAAGTTTGTTAATAAAAATACGCAGCAACAGATTACAGGCATGAGCTGAAAAGCATTTATTTATTGGTGTCTTTCCATCCTGAAAAGTTAGTCTTTTCTTCTCGCTACTGTTATGTATGAATTAGAAATTTTTGATTAATATTTTTTGTAGTAATTCTATATTTGTTTATACCTAAGCAATCAAGAATAAATAATAGCATTGTTTTAATAAAAATAGCAACATTTTTGCATTTTATCATGACTAGTTAAGGCTGCAGAACTCTGTACAAACTCAAACCTTTACATTTTGAGTAAGTTTATTTTTTTTATCCGATTACTCGATTAATCGTAAGAATAATCGATAGATTACTCGATTACTAAAATATTCGTTTACAACAGCCCTAGTATGTTTCATTGAAGGAAAGGTTAAACAGTGTATTTTTTCCCAGCCCTGAAACACAGCTGACTGAAAATATTAAATCATGCCCTCAGTGTGTCATTTGGTTCTGTAGAAGCCTATGAATGCCCTATTCCTTCAAACAAGACAGAAAACACACCTAAAACCTAAGGGGTCTTTTATGTGTTGCTAAGCAGCTGTTATCTAACATTCTAAAAGCAAAGAAACATTCTCTGAATAAAATATGTAAATCAGGCGTTAAATTCTAAGATAAAGTCTGACTTTTTCAGCTCAAGGTTTTTCGGATGCTTATTCATCATCAATGAATATCTTTTATGTGTCTAATTAACCACCCTGGAAGAAAACAGGGTTATGAGAGAAACTCTCTGATGTACAGTAAGAAGGGCCAACAGTTCCTTTTAACAAAAACCAGGGTAGCACCGAACTCAGACACAAACATATCACAGAGGTCTGTGAAAAAATGTCCCGGAAACAATGAACCTGCTTTCTTAGTGCATCACGAAGCACCTTGCTTATACTTCTGGAGATTCCAGACTCTATTTAGAGAGTCTGGCTTGACATATCTCCAGTTACAGAGGCCAGACTCTGTGTGCCCAGCCAGCAAGCAGGTATGTAAATGAAGTTTCACGCTTTCAGAGCTGACAAGCAGTGGCTGGTAGCACATAGTAACTACTGCTTAACCAAAAAGAAATGATAGAAAAGCTCATTACAAGTGTTATTACAGAGTTTATAAAGCATTTTAAATTGTTTGTGTGGTTCTAATGGCGTCATGCATGTGAACAAAATTACTCTGTCCTAACCGCCAAGGTATTTTCACCCTTTTTTCACAAATCAGATAAAAAAAAAAAATAGTTAATTGAGCTCAAGATTATTTTTGATTTTATTTAATAAGGCGATTATTAAAAGGGAAGAGGTGTGTAGTGGAATTAAAGGATACAAGGTTTTCATAAGTCATTACTTTGCAGAGTAACCTCTACTGCAATTTCCTCTTTCCCCCTTTTGGAAATGTCTCTACAAACTTTGTTAGGGTTAGAAAACTTTTACAGTTTTCTGGGATTTTATTCCAGATTAAGGTCTGAACACACCGGTTGCATACGACTTTTTAATCTCCGATATGATTTTTTTTCCATGTCAAACTAACTGCATGTAGAGAAGCTCCTATTGCAGGGTGTGCTTTTCTTTTCACTTCTTTCTGTCCAACACACAAATTAAAACAATTTCCCATATTTGGTTTGGACAGATTTTTTTTTTTTTTTAAACACAGGTGCATTCTATAAAGCAAAGCCCCACTTAAGGAGTCTGTGCAGCATCTCAAACATGAACAGATAGAGAATGTTCATGTATTAAAAAAATAATGAGATTTAATTCTAAAGAAAAGAAAAACAGCAATTAACGAAACGGGATGGTTCATATGCTGACTGAAACTGGGGGGTGATTCTCAGAGAGAGAGATCTGGGAAGTTTATCAAAGTTTTTCTTTTTTTTTTCATAAAGAGGTGACGGATATGTCGCACTTACCTGCTGTCTGCGCCGTTATCTATTTTTTTGTGAGGCTCAAAAAGGATCACAACTTTATCCATTTTCTGTCATCCTGAACTCCTATCATGGGTTGAAGTTTTCTTTTTTAATTCCTTAATTTTTTCACAAGTCTGTCCCGCTTACTATATACGCGATGAGCAGCTCCAAAAGTGACTGTTTCCCCACGTGATTAACAGATTTTTTTTTGTATTTCCCCCAAAGCGAATGTGCTTTACTTTGTAACCTATCTTTTTGCCTGTCAGACCCATGAAACTGTCGCTGAAATAGACCTGGGGTCTATCTCAGTGGGACTAACACACAAGCCCCGCTACATAAAACTGATTTTGGTGTGATCATCCTTTTGACTTTAAATGAGCGCTAAATGCAACGGACTAAATTTTCTGTAGGATCAGAAACAAACGTTTGGTTGGTTCTGGCCTTTAGTGGATGATTAGTACTAAATGTTGCTTCTCCATGTTCTAGTTCTAGTTCTAGTTATGCAGAGTAGACTTTAGCCATAAGATGTGAGAGGTCAGGGTGGTTGATAACCTGGCAAGCCAAATTGATCATGTTAAGCAGGGAGGTTTAATTCTACTCAATATCAATCTGGGATTGCTTCCATCTAATCTGTTCAGGGAGAGGAGAAACTAGCAGAGGTTTCTGAGCTGATTGGGAGACGCGACATCTAGTTCCCACCTACCATACTTTGGTTTTAGCCAATCAGATTAACATCGGAAATGGCAGCAGATGCTATGAGAAAATACATCTTACTTTTCTATGCTCCATTGTTCCTCTTTCAGAGATGTAATCATGGATAGCCATGTTTATTTTGGTTCGGCTGCTGGCTCGAAAACTCTGGCTGTTCATCACAGCTATAGAGGTCACCTAAACTATAATGCTGCAACGTCATTGGCTGACCCATCATCTAATATGGGAAACCATGGCAACAAACTGGATGATGTGCTCCACTCTCTTAGTTTAGTTAGTTTCTGTGAGTAGCATTCTGGATAAATGGCAGCTGTCTGATAAATATACTTTAGTTTTTTCTTCCTTTAATATATTTATACATTAAATATCTTCGCTAGGAGCAGAGTGGGATCAAAGTTGTATTCTGTTTAAGTGCACTCCATGAATAAAGATCATTCCAATCCTAATAATTGGTTACAAAAGAAATCTGTGAATAGTTCAAATTTTGGAAGTCTTCTTTTCTAACCCAACTCAGCTTTAAAGGTTCTTTTGATTTTGTCCTCTGGAACTTCTTGATGCTGGTTTTCCAAATGTTGTTTAACAAACATCTGAGGCCTTTACAGAGCAGCTGGATTTCAGCTGAGAAACTATATAACTATATATATATAACTATATATTTATTTATAAAAAAAATAAACAGACAAGTATTAGGAAAAGTATAAAAATATATTTAGAGAAAGAGCTGAATAGAAATGCTGAGTAAAATTGAATATATCTTTATAAAACCAAAACCATTTATCATATTATACGTTGCAGTAATGAGCTACTTTGTCTTGTCTATTGAGGACAGTCTGAATAAAATATACTGAACATTTTGAGTTATAGCTCGAACTTACAATAAATATTAATGTTTACTCGGCATGAAATTGGCCAGAGGTATATGATCAATAAAAAAATTAACGTGCAAATCAATCAAACATAAACATTATGTTTGCTTGAAATTCACATAAAATTATAATTTCTTAAATAAATAAGGAAGAGTTAGCACGCATTATGCATATTTCTATGCCTCGGTTTTTATCTGTGACCGTTTATGACCACTGCCTTTGCAATACACATTTATTCCCTAAGATGCTTTTTTCTCCCCAAAAAAATCTGTCAGGGTTTGAAATTCATGAAGTCACAAGATGGCAGGGATGGCTGCAGTTCAGGATGCAGAGAAGTCAGGGACTAATTTCAGCTTCCCTCTCCAAATGTCAAAATCTGCACATGTCCAAATGTCCGGTGGGCATTTAACCCCACACTGCCTCCAATATGCTCACCAATATGGGAGTACATGAGTGAGTGAGGCCTGCAGTGAAAAAGTGCTTTTATGCTAGAAGCATCTCAAGGTTTATACAAAGTGCCAGTCTGCAACAAAGGTTTTGATAAAAAAAAACAAAAAACTTTATGGGTCCAGAAAAGCACTGATCACATAAGTTGTCACCAAAATGATATATATGTCTGTCTTTCCTTGGTTTATAAACTTGTTCTTTGAGATTTTGTAATCCTGCTCATTAGAGGTGATGCCGACATGCCAGGACAGGAACACTGACATAGAATACATCTAACCAACCACCTGCAGTTCTTGTGATTGCATCGTGACTCTCTCTAATTTTACCCTTGAATGATTTTCTGTGGAAAAGCACCAACACAGAAAAGGTCTCTCTCCTGAGATTGCCCAAAACAGAGTGGATGAGCAGACATTAACAACGCAAATGAAACACTGCTTCCAAGTGCATTTGTTTAGTTTGTTTGGGACTGAAACCATCCTCAAATCTGCTCCCTTTCTTTTTGTAACAAAGCTTTAACTCTGCAGCTCTAATTGCTCAGAAAACAGTCCTGGTCAGTTAAGTAAGATTCGGCTATCCATCAACTCTGAAAAGCTTCTTATACAAGGATGACAGTGGCTTATAAAGAGCGACAGAGGCCTGGAATATAAAAATGCATCCTGGAGCCACTTCACATGTGCCTAAGTCTAATGAAAAGTAAAGCAGCAAACAAAATGGGAAGGAACAGCTGGTGCTCGGGTACTTACGTCTGTGTCGGGTCCCTTGTCTGCCCCCGGGCAGGAGAACGTGACAAATTCATGGCACCTCTTGTGGACCACAAAACAGCAAACTGCAGGGTGAGAAAACAGAATAAGAAAAAGGAGGGGAAAAATGAGTGAAAACACAACAAAAGGCAGGTAAAACTGTTAAAATTCTGTTTTTTTTTTCAGTGAAACATTGACATTTACAAAAAGAACACTTATTGCACAATCACCGACACAGAAAAGTGGTAGCTCCTATAGCTAAATATTCCTTCAAGTGTCTTTGAAATTGCCAGTTGTGTTTGTGTGTTTACTGCTCTTGTTGCACAGGATTGTTTCTTTAACTACAAAGCAGACAATAAATTAGACAATGATAAATGGGTTGAAAACAGTGGATTGATTTGAAGGCTCATCCTTGGCTTTGGTGTGCAAAGCTATGATCTCCCTACTGACCAATCTTACACAAAAAATGTAGAATTAGTGATCTAAGATTAAGACTAGTAAAAATCTGAATATGTAGCCTCTATCTATATTTTATAAACAAATAAAAACGCTTTAAAGGTACCAGCGAAATAATACACACACAGGAATAGCACTGGCCCTTTGTCTGGTACCAGGTATATGATAGCAGAGCTCTGAACTATTGGCCGAGCTAACTAAATAAAAACCTGCTGATGGCAAAAGCAAGCAGCACATTCTAAGTTGAATGTGAGCAATGCTGGTAAGTTTTTCATGTCTTTGAAAGATGCTAGAGCATAGCAATAGGACTTAAAAATCAAATCTCAGATTATTCTCTAACAAATTTGATATAATTGATTTTTTTCTCACCTAAATTTCATTATTAAAGTAAGTAATGACATATACTGCTTTCAAAAACTAGCTTTGATTTCAATCATCCCATCAGGGAGATAACTTTGTTTTAAAGGACAGCAAAATTCCAGTTCTGAAATAAGTTTGTGAAATCAAATTGTTATACATAAATCTATGACAATAAACATAATAAATTATTGCAGCTAATGGTATCACACAGTGAGCCAGTTTATCCATTATTATTATTATTATTACACATCTAAGAAAAAAAGTGATGAACTGATGTCTATGGAATTCCAAAGAAAAATACAGATTTGACCCAACTTAAAATTACAAAGGGCTGCTCAGTGGGGCAGTGGGTAGCACTGCTGCCTTTCAGCAAGAAGGTTCCAGGTCCCCGGGGTCTTTCTGCATGGAGTTTGTATGTTCTCCATGAGCATGTGTGGGTTTTCATCGGGTACTCCCGCTTCCTCCCACAGTCCAAAAACATGACTGTTAGGTTAATTGGCTTCTCTAAATTGTCCTTAGGCATGAGTGTGTATTTGAATGTTTGTTTGTCTCTGTGTTATTTGTGTCAGAAAATGGATGGATGAATAAAATCATCATAAACAGCAGATATGATGAATTGATTAATCAGCCAGCTTTAATAGATGGGATAGATTCGTCTGGGAAATATTTATAAATTATCAGAAAAAAAAAGTGGGCTTAACGATCAAATGACAATGGTTCCAAATAGATATGGTGAATAGATTTTACTTCTCAGAAATGGTATCCTAAATAAAAACTTAAATTTATCATCCAGACTTTAACCTCTAAAATACTATTTCAGTTGGATTTGTATAACAGCATTACAGAAGAGAAGTATACCGAGGCAGAGTTCAACCAAATCATTCAGACTTATTAAACAGTATTCCATCTTAGAACACTCAGCAGATTGCATCCAGTCATTGACTTTGCCGAATTGGCTCCTCCTGGATGAAAACGTAGATAGTCCCTATTGTGTCACTAACTCTGCAGCAATCATTCATACCGAGCATTGCCAACTCCCCTCTAGCAGGGAAAGACCTTCTGCAGAACTAGGCTCAGACTGAGCAGATAGAGCATACACACAAAAAAGGAACACAGAATCATTGATTCAGGAGTACTTGCTCTGCTTAAGAAAATCAGAGTATGGTCTGGATTAAATAAATTAAATGTTCAAAGAAGACATGTCAAGACTGTGAATAAAATGGACCCAAAAATACAACCTTGAGGAACTCCTAAGGCAACGGGAGGATGCTAAGGAAAAGGATTTTTCCTTCTAACAAATATGAATCGACAAGATGAATGGGATGTTAAGCCTGAATTCCAACAATATCTTGTTGGTGTCAGGTTTCCAGAGCTGGGTGGAGTGGCTCTGTGTGTTTTCCCTTTGCTCTCACAGGGTGGCACACTAATTGATTCCAGCTGGGTTACATTACCTCAATCAGTGGTGGCCTTTAAGAAGGAGCAGTCTCCCTGAAGCAGACGGTTGTTGTATTCAGAGCCATAACAAGCCAACTTAGAGAAATTTCAGCGTTGAGGAGTCCCCCCCCGCCCCCACCCCTGAAAGACCAGTGTCTTCACTCTCAAACCCCAACATCTACTGTACTTCCAACTAGCTAAGACCAGACTCCTACTCAGTGTAAGCTGACTTAAACACTTTGAGCAACTTTCCATAATCCATATCCAATCTAACAACTTGTTTTCCCTTCCAATGCCTCTCAGTCCTGGCTCCCACAGTTCTTTCCATACTCTGCTCTCCTTTGCATGTCCCTTAAAATAAACAGTTTAAATCTGCTTCTCTCTGTGCTTGTGCCTACTTAAGTCCAAGAGCTAGCATTATGACAGTTGGTAATGTAGAAAGACAGCATACCCAGAGCTGCAATAAAATCTAAACAGCAAATTTGACTATAATAGAACAGTGTCAGTGCCTCAATAGGCCCTAGAAGCTAACTGGATTTTTTCTTCAATATCCAGCCCTCCATCACTAGCATCCGAAAACAGACCTACAAACATTTCTAATGTGATGTCAATGAACGCACAGTGGAGAACTCGCACTTGGATTCTTGTGCCTCCACACATTCAGAGCACACAAAGTTGTTCTGTATGTCCAAGTGCCAGGTCACTGAGTACACCATAGCATGCAGGCAATGGAAGCAGCTGAGTCAATGTGGAGGACGGTGCCTGTTACTGGCTCTGAAAAACCTGCTTACACCAAGACGATACCAGGGAGAGAATGACTGACTAGGCATCCAAAAAAACAGAATTAAAAAAACATTTAAACCTCCAAGCCAAGAGCAGATGTTTCTAATTGTTAGTTCTACTTAGGGACCATGTTGAATAAAAAATCTCTTTTTCTTTGGCACCTAAAATGCTCTCAAGGCCAGTGCTAACCTCATGAGATAGAAGCTGTGATATTAAAATGGTCTTTCATTCGTCTTTATTTCTAGTAAAAAAAAGTGATTTTAGTGATTTGAATAACGTCAGAGATGTGATGAATTGCCCTTGGCGGGATTCAGTTTAATGTGCACTTTCATTTCCTCCAAAAACACCAAGACTAGTTTTTAGAGAGGATCAGATGCTGAGGTTCTGTTCATCATGGGTAGAAACATTAACAGTGATGGACCTTTATTGAGCTATTTTACACACACACACCCATATATATATATATATATATATGTATATATATATATATATATATACACACACACACACACACATACACAGATATAAATATATCTGGGTACACATATCATGTAATTTATCTGTGTATATCACATACACAGATATATATATATATATATATATATATATATATATATATATATATATATATATATATGGTACACATATTATGTAATTTAACTGTTTCTGAGTAATTATTGAAGTTCGTTAAAACTTAAACATGTAAGATTCTATACGCCGCTCTATATTATTATAAATCTGCATCACTATCAATAAAATCATGCCACATAGATTTGAAGTTGCTGGCAAATTATTAATCATAACTCCCACCTCATCAAATTAGAATTCCTTTTCCAAGTGATAATCGCCACAGTGTTTGGATAACATTATTACATTTTGCTTATAAATAATTCACGATTTGTACAATTCATAAACAGTCCATGTTTGGAACCTGATACCGGCATTTACGTCCCAGTATCAGATAGTAGCTCTGATATTACTCTGTCTTCTGTTTGATGTATTATGACACAATAAAATAAATTGCATTCTAGCTCTTTGCACAGTCATCTTCACAACTTATCTAGAAGAGAGGGATTATTTCACTCGTTTGAAAGGTGGGGGGTGGGGGGGTGGGGACAAAAATCCAGTTAGTATTTACCCATTTCTTTGAACTTCAGTAGCCACTAATTCCCCACAACACAGCTTCTCTCCATTCACTTCATTTGAAATGAAAAGGCATGTCTGGTCAAATATTAACAAATAAAACTGACAACAGTTGTGTTGATTTAAAACTGGGATGACTAAAAAAAGCTCCTTATTAACTACTTTCCTTTTAAGGTAAGGTGAACAAGTGAAACTTTAATTTCCCTTTACAGTTTTAAATATCATGTGAAAATTTTGCTGGGAAATATTTCACCTTTCTTTATCTGAACTGACGCAAAGTATATCATAAATTGTCTCATAGGAGGAACAGCACAGAAGCGGAAGATCAAAGGTTACTTCTGCTGCAAAGGTTGACTTCATCACTTTTACCACAATAAGTCTAATTGTGTTCAAAAACAGAGAAAGAAAAAAAGCTATAAGAGTGCTGCTTGGGCAACAAACACCACCAATTAACCTAGATCAGTGGATATCCATAATAAAACTTAATGAGTTCTTTATTGGAGGCAGAGATGGTAAGCAGATGGTATCTTCACGTGGGATTCTCACTTTGAAACACACAGATAAAAGTGTGATAAAAATGGGGGGGCAGAACACAGCATTTTGCACCAATAGACATTTTATCTAATTAAGGCTTCATATTTTTAGATAACTCAATATATTTGAAAACAAATCCAGATTGGGATGCTTTTAAACCTTAGCAGGTGTTACAGTGGTACCGATGATTGGTGGATTAGAGCAATCTGAAGGGTCCGCTGGTTGCAAATGACTTGTATGATCTGTCCGACAAAACCCTTTTAACACAGATTAAATGAAAACTAAACACAAAGCAAATATAGAAAACCCCTCAAGACCAACTCTGGAGACAAAATAATTGAGTGTTTTATTAACCCCAAACAGGGAAAATATTTTC